CCCTCAAAACCTTATGCTACATGAAAGAAGCCCAGTGCAAAACACTACACAGTGCATACTTCCATTTATAAACAATGCCCAGAAAAGACACATTTATGAAGACAAAAAGCAGATCAATGATTTCCTTGGGCTGAGGTTGGGAGGGAGGATTATATTGCAGATGGGCTCAAGGGAATTTTTCGAGGTGCTGGAAATGTCCTAAAACTGGGTTGTGGTGATGGTTTTACAACTCTATGAATGTAGTAAAAATAATTAAGCTGTGAACTGCAAATGGGTGAATTTTATTGCATGTAACTTACATATCAATAATGCTGTTAAAATACACAGAATATGATTATAACCAAGGCTATGATGAAAAATAAAGCGGGAAAGAGTATCAGGCACCCAGGATGTGGTGGGACTGCACTTCCTGGATCTCTTGTGGGTGATTGGGACAGTGAGTAGTGTGAGACAGACTTGTAAGCAGAGTGTGATGTGTCCCTTCCAGGCTGAGGATTTAACTGCTGATGTGAGATCATTCACAAGCTCACTGTTTCTCTGCCCTCTAGTCTGGCAGCATCAGTCAGGTCTTTGAGTCACTATGATTGACAGTGTAGATCCGCTCCTCAACCAACCCAGGTGTCCTGTGACCCGGTGGTTGAGTAACTCATCCCTTTCAGACTCATACAGGTGGTCAGAGAAAGCCTTAAAAAAAGCTTTGGGTAAAAGTCTGAAGGAGGTGGGTTTGTAGGTCAGGAGGCTGTTCTGGCGGACAGTGGTCCAGAGAGTGGGAAGATCACATGCAAACACCAGAGCAGCAGGGAGGCCAGCACTGCTGGTGCAGAGGCAGAGCAGAGGTGGGGTGGCAGTGTGGGGAACTTAGGGCACTTGGCAGGAGATGCTACAATGGGCAAGGTGGGTGCTAGAGGAGGGCGAGTGGGCAGCCAACAGAGGTGTGGTAAGTGGCCTGGGCATCTGTGCAGATGTGCTGAATAACATGGATCTCCATGGATGTGACAGTGCTGATCAGATTTAGGTTCAAAGAGCCTTGCACAACCTCCAGGTCACAGGAAACCTGGGTGGGTTGAGGAGTGGATCCTGCCCTGTCAATCATAGTGACTCAAAGACCTGGGCTGATGCTGCCAGACCAGAGGGCAGAGGAACAGTGAGCTTGTGAATGATATCGTGTCAGCAGTTAAATCCTCAGCCTGGAAAGGACACGCATCACACTCTGCTCACCAGGTGCAATACAGAGAGATGGAAGGACCAAGGGTGGGAACAAGAAGAGCAATGGGGAGGATCCTTTGCAAGGATGCAGGTGGGAGCTGACCTCTCGCCCCGCTGCTATGTCATTATTCCTATGAACATTCTCATCAGATCAGTGCTGTGCTTGTAACCTTCAATAGCTCCCTATGGCCCACAAGAACAAGTCCAAGTTTCTCAATAGGGCCTCCACCTACCATTCCTCTCTTATTACCCCATTCCTACCACTTCAGCGCCCCTCTGTTTGAGTCCCCTATTCTCCCAGACACAGTCTTGCCCCTCTACCCGGGTTCTCACAGTCCCCTTACATTCCTGCCAGCAGTGCGGGAGAGAGTCTGCACTGGGAAAGGGCAAGGTGAGCACAGCCACAGAGTCTGGGAGGCGTGGGAGAGGGTTGTGATGGAGGCTCCCCATCCCAGGCTTCTCCCAGCCTTAGTCCTGACTTTAGCCTGCAGGTCAGGGATTTGGGGACTTGCAGGAATGGATGGATTCTAGGACACCTTCTCCTCTTTGGACACTCTGGCTGAGTAAGGGCAGAAGCCACTGTCTTTCTCTCCACCGTGATCCCGAGGCACAGTGGCTCCTTGGGGTGGGGAGTACCAGGAGGGTCAGACAGGGAGAAGCCAGCAGTCCTGGGAGAAAACCAGGCAGAACAGTGATCTGAAGTTTGAGAACTGGTGAAAAAAGAAGCTGCAGCTGGTGGTGCTGGCAGGAGAGTTCTGCAGGAGGAGCTGAGGCCCACAGTGATAGAGCTGAGGGAGCTGCCCACTACTAGGCGAGACCCTTAGCACAGAATTCACCAAATGAGAGGCCAAGAGGCACGCCGCTGGCTTCTGCTGGAGGGAAAGTGCTGGCAGGTTCTCAAGTAAAGAAATGAAGCACAGCAGTACAATTTAACCCATAAGAACCTTTCATTTGCCCCAATCCCTGAAAATGTCAGTTAAAAGCAAACTTAAGTTCCCAATAATCTCCATTAGCTGAGAAAGACAGAGGGAAGGTGGGGGGAGAAAGAAAGAGAGAGAGAGAGAGAGAGAGATTAGAGAGGAGAGAGAGAGACTGGGAGGTTGCAGGTGGAGGGAAGAAAGAGAAATACACAAAGGTGCTAACCAAGAGACCAAGGATGGGGAGGGGAAGCCCCTTCCCCATGTGCTGGAGACTTTTTTTTCCTGGAGTTTTTCATGAAATGGAATTGCCAGTTCAATTTTACACAGTAGTTAAAGTGCTTGAGATTAGGTCATTGTTTACAAATTAATCCAGTCAAATGGAATGAATGTGGATGAACCTTGAAAAAATTATGCTAAGTGAAAGAAGCCAGACGCAAGGCTTCATAAAAGGATACATATTCCATGAGTCCATTTATATTACAAATTCAGAATTGGAAAATCCATAGAGGCAGAACACAGATTGGTGTTTGCATGGGGTGGAGAAGAGGGAGCAACCTTTCAATAGGTACAAGGTGACGGAAAAATTTTGGAATTAAATGGAGCTTGTGGTTGCATAACATTGTGAATGTATGAGTTGCCATTGACTTTTACACTTTAAAATGATTAATTTCATGTTACGTAAATTTCACCTTGATAAAGATATTAATTCAATCAAATTCATGAACTTCAGGTGTGTCACGCAATATGCCCTCTGTCCCTTTCTCAAAGGATTTGCACCACGCTATGAAGCCAGGGAATTATTTCATCATAGAAATCTGGTGGCTGGAACTTTCTACAAAGGCAAGTTTCCAACCAGATAATGCAATAAGCCCGGCTCAGGGAACATAATACCTGGATATATTAGGTTTTATGCTTGAATAGAGTTAAAAGCTGATCTCAGCGGCTTTTCCACCCCCTATTTTCTCCTATGGAAGGTGAGATTCAGCGAGGTTGACAGTGTGAAAAGTATCTGCAGCATGAGGCCAGCCCGGGGTGCTGGCTTCTAGCCCACTCTGTTTTTTATCAACACAGAATTTTACTCCTCACCCCATGAATATCTACTCAGACCACAGCAAAGGGGCTCTGTGGAGTCTGAGCCCATCCTGGTCTTGGTCCTCTGGATCCTGACCCTGGCAGCACATTATATTATGTCACCTGGTACTTAAAAAATACGCTGATATCTTGGATTCATCCAAGACCAATTAAACCTGCATCTCTGGATAAAGAGCCTGGGAATTCTTAAACACACCGTGGGTGATTTTAACGTGGAGTAAGGTTGAGGTCTACTGACTGCATTTTACTCACTAGCATCTAGAATTTCCAATCTTTACCAGTCCTGGAGGGACTCAGGCATCATCATTTCATAACTGAGCCCATCAAGTCATGAGTCTGACTTGAATAGCACCTGAATGACACAGCCAATCCTCACCTGCGTAGTCTACCCAGGCAGCACCTGCACAATCCACCCAATCCTCACCTGTAGAGCCCACCCAACCAGCACCTGTATCACCCACCCATCTATAGAGCCCACCCAACCAGCAATGTACAACCTAGCCAACGAGCACCTGTGCAACCCACCAAGTCAGCACCTGCACAACCCACCCAGTCATCATCTGCAAAACCCACCCAGTCATTACCTGTACAACCCACCCAACCAGCACCTGTATCACCCACCCAATCCTCATCTATAGAGCCCACCCAACCAGCAATGTACAACCTAGCCAACCAGCACCTGCACAACCCACCAAGTCAGCACCTGCACAACCCACCCAGTCACCATCTGCAAAACACACCCAGTCATCACCTGTACAACCCACCCAGTTGTCACCTGTACAACCTAACCAACCAGCACCTGCACAACCCACCCAACCAGCACCTGCACAACCCACCCAACCAGCACCTGCAAAACCCACCCAGTCATCACCTGCACAACCCACCCAGTCAGCACCTGCACAACCCACCCAGTCAGCACCTGCACAACCCAC